TGCAAACTCACCAAAAAATTATGACTGCCACACAAGTCAACAACCCAGCAATAACAGATCGATAAAATCCACGTACCTGCAAAATTAATATTTAGTACAAATTCTAATGAGTTTTAGGTTGCTTAGCAATCAAGAAACTTTCATATCCAAAAATTATGTGTCTGAGTGATATAAAGATAATTTATGGTACATTGAAAGCAAAATCTTATTAACCATTTTGGTTAATCATCAAATAAAAACACTAATAAAGTTCATTATCTGCCCCTACCTCTGAAATGGAAGGCTTAACTTTTGCAAAAAGTACTGGAAGGATATTCACAACTGCACCTAAACATCACACAACAAACAAACATAGCTTATCATAAACATTGCCAAGCCAAGCCTAAGGGCTGAACTTCTGATTGCAATAATTAACCATAAAGGAAAAGGAGGATTTGTTTCTCTTGGATCAGAAACTCAAAAAATGATCAATTGTGAGCACGTAATTGTTCAGTGTGTGGTATTGCAATTTTTTTCCCGTTAAATTTTAACTATAAGCGTAACCAAGATTGTAGAAATTTTGTACGCAATATATCAGGGACTTTCCAAGAGACACAAATGTGCGAGGAATATGTTGGAAGAAAAGTCAACAACATGCCTGGGGTTAATTTGTGCCAAAATTTTGCCTTTGCACATACTTCCTTCTTCTCAACCAGGGTATTAACCTGGTTTGAGCCTGTGATCCAATTGAAAACCAGTACCTGGTCAGCGGTCCACTTTGAAAAAAACATGCGACCTCAATGAGCTATAAACCTGAGCTGGAGATATGGGTAAGTGATACTGGTCAGTGGCTGACTTATGTTGACGGCTGTCAATTAATCACAACATGGATGTCCAATATCAATGATGTACCTATGGTAATGGTAGTGCTACTCTCTTATTTTTCAAGGTATTGAGCTTGGCATACTGATGTACGTACAGATGTGTGTACAGACAGTTGCGTGATGACCAAAATTTTTTAGATTGATGGGTAACCAAATTTTCTATGGTATGGGGCTCTGCTCCTGCACCTTTGGCATGTAGGAGCTCCGCTACAATCATTATGTCCAGAGTGTCTGGTAAAATATAAGTATTAACAAGTTGAACTGTAAACACCTAGCTTCTAATGGAAGTTAAAATAAGAAAACTCCTCTGGATTTAGAACTTCAAGAAAGATTAATTTCAATTGCCAAAATTCCAATTGAAAATAAGTCATTAGGCTTTTTACATAACTTATAAATTAAAAATACAGTTTATAGTTTAGTCACTAAGTTTACTTACCCATTGCAACAGTACCCAGGACAAAAGGCTGACCAATATGTTTCAGGTCACCTAGAATTTCAATGTTGCTCCACTGGCTTTTTATGTGCAAAGTAGTCCAAACCTAAAGAACAACAATGGTGTACGATAGTTTCGCACTACACAGTCACACATTTAACACACAGTAATCTAGCATCGCAGAACTACCATCTGTGCAAAGCACTACCAGCTTCACTTACCAATACACGCATGCAATAGATTAGAAATCAAATCCAACAGCACTAAATGCAATTCCACTACATCATGAAACATCAGATTAACAAATTGACATCAGTTTTTTATGCGTCCGTCTTCTTATTGATGATAAATTGCATCATAACATTGTCAAAGTGGCTGTGGAACCACGAACTGCAGGTGAGTGGTTCCACAGCAAACTTTGACAATGTTATGACGAAATTTATCATCAATAAGAGGACAGCCACATAAAAAACTGAAGTCAATTTGTTTTTTACAATAACAAGACCCCAAAATGGTCAAATGCAGGGAACAAATGAGGAGAAAAGACACCGTACACTTGCCGTAAACAAAGATAAGTGAATTTTATTCAAAATGATGCAAACATCGTCTATAGCTTTTCTTGCTTTTTGATTGGCTACTTAAAATAGTCCATAAAATCTCATTGGTTAAAAAGTTGACAGTTTGACAGCTGAAAGTTGAAATTGAAACCTTGCATAAATCAAAATTTTATCTGCCTGTACTCTTAGTGATGATAAAAATGAGCCAATCAGCATGTGAGAAATTAGACAGTTATTGTAAAATTCATGATTGATATGTTTTCATGCAAAGAAAGACTAGTATAAATTCCTACACATATGATATACAGGGCGACATGATTGATCATCGTGGTTACAAGTACAAAGTCAACTTAAGCAGTTGTGAAATTAAAGCCTGAAAAATTGAATGGAATCGAGCCCATGACCTCTGTGATATCAGTGCAGCGCTCTAGCAACTGAGCCACTGTTCCAGATAAGTGAGGGGTCTCAGGTCAAAAACCAGCAATTTGAGCATAAAACATCTCTGACCTGGATTTGATAATTTTCTGGGCTATATAATGATATGTAATTCTACACTAACATCTAGTTGTACAAGTCAATAACCACTTCAGTGACATACTTACAGTTACAATAAGAATCAGACATCCCCCAAGGAATGTTACTACTGATACAAATGGTAGAACAGAAGAATTAAGGAAAATAATCAGGACGGCACAGCTCCACACAAACACTGCCAGTGGGTACCCCACACTGAAAAAAAATTAAAGAGAGCAAATAATTCAATAATAAATATCAATGCTGGACCGTAGAGAATAGGTATTTTCTCATTAATAATTAGTCAAGTTTGTGGTTAAAGCACGGTCCACAGATCAAGTGGCCCACATTGCTGACATAGGAGGTGCTCTTAAGGGATTCAACAAGAATGGTCTCTTTCCCAATACGTATGCCTTTTTAAGATTCTTCCAACATCGGATGAGCGAGTTTGTCTACAGCACAGGTGTCTGTCAATTATTTTCATTAAGCATCATAACCAAGTAACACAAATACAAAAGGCTACGAATATGTCAAGATCTAAACTACATTTATCTGCTTTAAATTTGTTCTATATCTATGATGCTACACGTGTAAATGCCCTCAAAGTTGTTTTACCTGAACAGTGTAAAAAGTTCCAAATGCAGACTCAACATGAGAAGGAAGAAACCACTTGAAGAGATTCAGTGCAAGAGATTGCAATTCCACTTACTTGAGGTTTAGAAGTTGAGCACAAGCTTTACTGCCAGCAAGAGAATAATTGACAAGGACAGAAATACTAAAACAACAGAAAGAACAAATAATAATTATCATGTTCAGTAACTGGCTTATGATATTTTTATTGTACAAATAAAATTGACAAGGAAATATCAGGACATGCAACAAAGACAAATATCATTTTCTACATCTTTACTTCTCTGTGATTAATTGGAGACGTAAGTGTCGAGTCTGGCATATGCAGATACTTAAAAAACAGGCAGTGTCGGACTTTGGACATTTCTTAGAAGCAATTATGGTTTTTGAAACATTCGTCCGATTCTTGATCTTGCAAGAAGTAAACATTGTAGTGCAAGGCATTTCTATTTACATGGAAGTTTCCATGTCGTGTTAAACAAATTAATACCATCCAAGCTATGACTAAGTACTAGTTGACATGTCTACTATTTAAATCTAGTTAGGGTTACAAAGTATAAAAATGATTTTCACGTCTTATTTTTTGTGTACTCCTAATACTCAAGCTCAAAACTGAAGGACAAAATTATACTATAAACAGAAATCCTCACCGAAAAGCTACAAAACTGAAAATATCAAAATCACTAATCTTGGGTTAGCTTAATGGAGCTTTGATCAACCTGGACCAGGAGCTTTGAAAAAAGGAAAATGTTTGTGCAATTTAACTCAATATTAAATTACATTGTATGAGTTGTAAATAAAAGAGGTCTTACAACATAATAAGTATGATCACTTTAAAGAACTGCCTTGCACCATTGCCCAGGAAGAGTTCTGTTAGAGTGTGAAGACTGGGCTGGTAATTATTGAACCTCTCCAGATTGTCTTCTGCCAGTAACACAGTTTCATCTAATTCAGCTGCAAGATAAAGATACCAAACAGATATACCGGTAAATATATATGAAACTTTCTCACAAAAAAACCCTGCTAAATCTACTGAGGGCTACATAAACTATGTAGCCCTAGTGCTTGATAAAACTGTCATGAACTTGCCATGTAGGAAGTACATGCGCAGGGTTGCTTTTCATTAAAATAAATATGAGTACACAATGCAGCCTTGTTCCTTCAACCCCAGGGGGCAAGTAACCCTAGAAATGAGGTTGCACACAATGACGCAAAACATTGTGGATGCCAAATTCACGTACACAGAAACTACATACATGCGTCACTCCTGTTTATCTCTAGCTCCATCTCTGATTTGCTAGTTTCATCTTCTTCCTCAATGCCTTCATCATCACTAAGGGGAACATCTTCATCTGGCGTAAACTAAAGTTATAACAATCATTTGGTCGTCAGTGTGCATATAATTTTGTTAAGGAAATAATATTGACTGAAATGACTGGCTGACTATTGCGCATTAAACTTGCAACAGCACTAGCTGGATTATAAGCAATGATGCAACTGTCCAGAGAGGGGTGCTGGGGGTGCTTAATTTCCTCTTCTGAGAAAGAAGCAATGGCTGACAGCAGGGGTTTCAATACAATTTTCAGCAAGAAGGCAACTGGTTTCACCTGAGTGTCAGGTAGGCATCTTTTTGAACTGAACTTCTTTGTAAGAAGAACTTTCCTCTACATGGTCAAAACAGGCAGGTAAAATTGTCCTCATAGCCAGTCAATTCAATGCCCTCTTGCCAGTCCTGCTGGCAGGATGGACAGCAATAAACTGTACCTACATGCTATTTTAAGTTTGTTATTGTATTCCAGGACATTTTTTGAACATTTCAGCTGGCAGTTGATGAAGGACACTAAGAATATACTTTTATTAGCACATAATTCAACTCTAAGTTGGAAAAATGATAATACAGAAGATGTGTTTTCTTTGTGCCATAACCAAAGATCTTTGAAAAATGTATTAATTAACCGCGCGGCCATGGGCCGAGTGCGGTTCATGTTCTACCCTTGGTTTATTATTTTTTTAAATTTTTTTTTTGTCGG